GGGGGGGGGGCCCCCGACACCCCACCCCAGGGGGAAAGGGGGGGGGACCCAGGGGGGGGGGGGCCCGAACCCCCCCACCAAAGAAAAAAGGGGCCGGGGGGGGGGGCCCAGGAGGGGGGGGGTCCCCACCACCCCCAGAGGGGGAGAGGGGGGGGGGGGGGGACGTCACCGTGCCGCGAAAAGACGGCCGAGCGAGTCAGCGCGCCGCGCAGCTCTCGCACCCGAGCGAGCAGGGCGGCGGCGGCCTGCGCCGTGCAAACGCGACCGTGAGGGGAGACGGGCCTCGTGCTGACGTCAGAAGATCTGGTGTGGCCCTCTGGTTAGGGAAGAGGCAAGGAAGAGGCGAGAGGAGGCGAGAGGAGGCGAGAGGCGGCGAGAGGGGCCGAGGTGAGCCGAGGTGAGCCGAGGTGAGCCGAGGTGAGCCGAGGTGAGCCGAGGTGAGCCGAGGTGAGCCGAGATGGGCCGAGGTGAGCCGAGGTGGGCCGAGGTGGGCCGAGGTGGGCCGAGGTGAGTCGGAGGGGTGGCGGCGGCGTGCAAGCACCCAGAGCTCCGTATGTGAGGAGAGCTACGAGAACGCAGGACTAGTCGGCGTCTGGTCTCGGACGGTGTGTGTGTCACCTGCCGCGGGTGGCTGCCGCCCTCGCACTCGCCCCGCCGCGGGAAGAAGCTGCGCAGCGCCGCAAGCACGTCTGCGCGCGCGCGCGTGTGGAAGAGGCGCGAGTCAAACGCCGTCAGGTGGGCGCGCGGCGTGAGCAGCGCGTCGATCCGGAAGCCGAGCGCGCTCGTCGACGAGAGCGAGTCGCGAAGCGCCATCCAGCGCGCCTGTGGCGCGTGGTATTGGTGGGTCGTGCTTGAGGGATCCCTTGAGAGAGGTTGTGGTGCGTGATGTGGTCTTGTCCTTGTCTGAGGTTGTGCTGTATGCTCCGTCCACCGCGCCTCTGGTGGCGCGGCGAGGCGGCGGTTGAGGGAGGCGGCGGTGAGGCGGCGGTGAGGCGGCGGCGAGGGGCGGCGGCGAGGGGCGGCGGCGAGGCGGCGGTGAGGCGGCGGTGAGGCGGTGGGGGAGGAGGCGGCGAGGGAGGTGGCAGCGAGGGAGGCGGTGGCGAGGGAGGTGGCAGCGAGGGAACGGCGAGGACCGAAGGGGCAGCGGCGGGCGCGCGGACGAGCGGAGTGGGGGAGACCGCAGGGGAGGAGAGAGGCAGCAGGAGAGGGTGGCGAGACTGACTAAGGGGGAGGCGAGGGCAGCGCCCACCTTGGTCATCGACCGGCTGGCCCGCTCTGCATCGGTGAGGACGCGCGAGCCTGCAGGACGGTTCCGAGAAGGGTCGGAGAAGGTGCTGGAAGGAGGCAGAGTTTCCTCGGCACATACATGCAGTGGACGCGGCTTGAGCGCTGTGGAGAGGAGGGAGCCGAGCGCGGTCGTCTCGAGTGCTGGTGAAAAGACCGGGATCTGCAGTTCGGCATCTAGTGCGCGCGAGCCTAGCCGCTCCTCCATCCGCTCCATCCGCTCGAAGAGGTCCGCGCGCGGCTTCGCGCTCTGCGCCTCGCTCTCGGCAAAGGTGCGCAGCCCCATCTTCAAGTCGGCAATGTGCCGCCCGCGCAGCGAAAATGCGTGCAGCAGGTCGTCCATCTTGAAAAACCAGGCGCCGTCCCGCTCGACCTCGCCGTAAAAGTTGGGCACGAACGCCCGCAGCGGTTCGCTGCTCTCGCAGCTGCAGCAGATGAGCTCGAGGAACCTTCGCTCGTTCTCGTATCGGTCCCGCGCCTTTGGCCTCGGCTTGTAGAAGAAGGCGCCCTCGACGAATACGCCGCCGTGTCCGAAAGCGGCAACTTGTGGGTCTTTCCTTCCGCAGCACACGACAGCTTCCACACTGGGTGCACCACTGGGCGCACCAACATGCGCTGAGTAAACCATTTTGCGATCCCCCCAAGCGTGTGGGGCTCTTCACAGCCTTGTTATTGAGAAGAAAATACGTCCTACGGCGCTGTGCGCTGGTCTGTGAGAGGTTGAGGTGCGAGCCCTGGAGGCCCTGGGAATGGGGGGAGACTACCCGCGTTCACACGTACTAGACGGTTTGGCCGGCGCCATGTGGCGCCGGGCCCGCCCTCCATTTTGCGGTCCCCCCCATTGAGAAGAAATTGAGAACAAAAATACAAAATACGTCCAATGCTCCAAGTCCATGGCGCTGTGCGCTGGTCTGTGAGAGGTTGAGGTGCGAGCCCTGGAGGCCCTTGGGATGGGGTGAGACTACCCGCGGGCCTAGAAGGCCCTCGCGCAGGGGGGTGGGACATTGAGATTGAAGGCGGTCATTCATGATCTCATGATACCTACTCGAGTACAGTGGGTTGCGGGCATTAAGAAAACAGGATTGCGCGGCACGCCGCCGTTTCTAAGCCTTTCCTCACCCCTCACCCACCCCATGCCGTGGTCTCTTAGCTCCGGCCGGCACTCAAGCCACCGCTCCGACGAGGACGGGGACGGCCCCACCGGGACCGAGGCCGAAGGTGTCGCCTACGCCGAAACCCTCGCTGCAGCCAAGCGCGCCGCCGACGAGCGAATCCGCGTCGCTCTAACCCACTGTACTGTGTGAATTTTCGCGGAGCGAAGAAAATTTTATACGGAATACGTCCATTTGGGGGCCTCGTTTGGAATACGTATTCCGGAATACGTGTGGAATACGGCCTAAAGCTGCAATTTTATACGGAATACGGTCCTTTTGGAGGTCATTTGGAATATACGTGGAATACGTATTCACACAGTAGGCGGTCATGAATGAGTTCACAGTCTGTTATGAGCCACCAACCAGAAGGCGTGCGCCTGTGAATCACAGACCAGCGCATAGCGCCATAGGACGTATTTTCTTCTCAATTCTGTGAAAAGAGTGAGGCCTGGTTTCTAGGTTTCTACTCGCCAGCCCGAGGAAGTTCACAGCCCTGAAAGGAAGAAAGACCGGCCTCAGAGAAAGAAAGAGACAGATTGCAAACGAAGGAACGTGGTCGTTGCGAGCATACATCGCTCGGATGGGCGGCGTGCCGCGCAATCGCGTGTGCCACCGCTCGCCCCGTATCGGCACCTCCACCAACCTCACCCTCTATGAGGGGTCCCTCTCCTCGGCGAACGACTTCTCGCTGCCCGCGCTGCTGAGCGACGACTTTCTCCGCGCGGTGCGGTGCACCTTTCGGCCGCGCCTCGCGCCGCTTGCGCGGTTCTGGGGCTCGAGGCGGCCGACCGTGGCGCTGCATGTGCGGCGCGGGGACGTGCACACCTCCAACTCGCGCGTCGCAAGGTCGGTGTACACGCATCACTACGTCGCCGATTCCGCGTACCTCGACATCATCGGCGTGGTGCTGCGGCGCTACCCGTCGGCGGACGTGCACGTGTGGAGCTCGGCCGAGGGCTTCTACACGAACGCCTCGTTCGAGCCGTTTGCGCGCGCCGGCGCGACGCTCCACATCGACACCGACGAGATGGAGGCGCAGGCGCACTTTGCGACGGCCGATGTCTTTGTGATGGGGAGGAGCTGCTTCTCGTTGCTGCCCGCGCTGCTCAACCCGAACTGCGTCGTCGCGACGGTGCACGGCTCGAACAAGATGACGGACGAGGCGCTCGTCCGCGCCGTGCCGCACGGGATGGCGCTGTCGGGCGGGCGGGCGGGCGAGGAGCTGCTCGGGTGCATGCGGGAGCGAGGGTGGTGAGAGGTGGGTGGGCGGAGAGGGTGTGTGCAGTGTGGGCCGGAGATATTTATTTTTGTTTTGTTGTGTGAGAGAGAGAGAGATGTGTTTGTTGTGTGTGAAAAAAATGAAGACTTCTTTTCTTGAGCTTGCCTTCGATGTTACGAAACAAACGCAAGGCGGACACACACACGACGCATCACTCTCGGGCCCACAGACATCCCGCGGACCGCACCCGCCGCCCCCGCCCCGCCACGTCCCGCCGCGCGCCCCGCCCCCTCGGGCCCGCCCCGGCCGGGAGAAAGGGGAGTGACAGTTTGGGACGGCAACAGAACGAGTATCTTGCACTCCATGTGCAAGAACGCAGAGAAGGACTGGGGGTGGTCCGGCCCATCGGAGATAGCTTGCTATCAAGGTTATCCGACAAGGCGAGGAGAGAGGAACCGGAAGGTGTGGAAACGTGAAGTAATAACTTGTTACGTCCGTCCGAGAGGATCTCATTCGATCGTGTGTCGGGCCCTCGCGCTTCTAGCTGCCCGAGTCCCGTTCTCGTCTGCCCCACCCTCCACTTCCCTGGCAGATGTTTTGTAGTAGTGTTTGGGAGAGAGAGAATTTTAGCAATACGTCTCGCGCGCGCGTGAACAGGGCTCCAGGCCCCAAATGACGTGTGAGTGTTAGAGTGTTTGTGGTGTGAGCGTCAGGCCTTATTTGGGCGCCGACGCTCGGGGTCGTCTGGCAACGGCACCGGAAGCTCGAGACGCAGCTCTCGGGGCTGCCAGCCAACCCAGGAGTCGATTTTAGGACCAATCTCAATAACAATCTATATCAGCATGAACAACCGGGAACTTTCGATCACAAAAGCGTGATCTTTTTTTCACCGATCTTGATACGCCGGCGGCGGGCTTGCGACTGCCTTTGGCATGCTCTCCATCTCGCTGGCCTGCCTCCTCTTAGCCTCGCACTCGATCTCCGCAGACCAGGCACAGCAGCAACCTCCGCCGCGATCGCCTCCGCCGACTTCGCCTTCGGCGCCTCCATCGCCCACGCCGCCTCCGGCGCTGCCGCCCGAGCCTCCACAGCCACCTCCACCTCCTTCGCCATGGTCCCCAGATCCCCTTCCGCCTCCGCCTCCCAGCCCCTCATCTCCGGAACCCTTGCCGCCGCGGCCGCCCTCGCCGCCGCCCTCGCCGCCAGCATCACCGCCCCCGCCGCCCCCGCCGCCCTCGCCGCCCACTCCGCCACCCCCGACGCCGCCCGACGCGCCACCAATCTCGCCGCCTCCGCCGCCGCCAAGCCCACGCTCCCCAGAGCCGTCGCCACCGCCGCCGCCGCTGCCGTCCTCACCGTCGCCGAAAGCGCCCGAGCCCTCTCCGCCGCCGCCGCCAGTGCCGCTGAGCCCCGATCCATCCCCGCCGCCGCCGACGCCGCCGCCGTCTCCGAATCCGCCCTCGCCCGAACCGTCGCCTCCTCCACCGCCAAGCCCATCCACCCCAGAGCCGTCGCCGCCCCCCGCCCCGCCCCCCCCGCCCCTCCCGCCCTCCTCGCCGCCATCGCCTCCCTCGTCACCGCCTCCCTCGCCGCCGCCTCCCAGCCCCCCTCCGTCGTCGCCGCCTCCCTCGCCGCCGCCGCCCCCCACGCCCCCCGCGCCCCCCTCGACGCCGCCGCCACGGCCACCTCCGCCCTCGCCGCCGCCCTCGCCGGCCGCTCCGCCACAGCCGCCACCGGCCATGCCGGGCTTCACTCTGGTCGCAAGTGACTTCTGGCCTCCTCTCGCTGACGCGGGGAACTGGACGAGCAACGTCCAGAACCTCGCCCCCGGGGGGTGCCA